CAGAACTTCAACAAATTAAGTCCTTGGAGCCGTGTGTTGTTTATGAAGCACACAGTGTGCACTTATAAAACTATGGTTCATTCTATTTTCGTAGTATGTCAAGGTGTTAATTTAGGTTCCATCATGTTGTGCTGCATGTGTATCCTTTCCTATAGCCCTGATATAAAGTTGAGTACAAATGGGCGATGTAAGAAAAGACACTGACATAAACGATTTATAGGAAAATTCCTTAATATTATGTGATTTCTGTCCAACATGTGAAAGGTTAATAATCTCCCGTTGTCCAGCCATGTCCGTATGACCACGGCTGCATGTAGATATCACCCGGCCTTTGTAATCAGCAAATATCTGGACTTGCAGCCCAATGTAATTTTGGCAATCAATTTCCTTTGTGGCCTGTGGACAAAAGGTGGTCACACCTTCCATATCAGACTAGGAGCAGGGCAAATGTCCATCGACTTTTCCATTTACGGCCAGGAAATTATGCCTCGATCCAACTTTTAATCCAAAGGCAATCGGTGCCAAATGTGTATCCTCCGATTGTAACAGTGTTGATAGGTTATCTGCTTAATTTTTCACTGTCACCATCAGGGCATCGGCGCTATCTGACCACCAGCACCTTTGGTTGGGGCAAACATTATCACTACAATCAATAACCTCTGCTCACAAGCGGAACGTCAGCTCAGGCAATCTTATGAAAAAAGCTACTAAAACATGCATTACGTCTGGGAAACCTGCTGGAAAATTAGCTCATTTTGTTCCCAATGATTGCTTGGCTTGAAGAATGTGAAACACTGCGTTCATCCGGTCTTATGGTATTGTTAGATGGGTAATGACGCATTCTAATCATCAAGAGCTTCTTTACCTGTTTCCTTAAGGTAATACTTGGAGATGTTAGAAAGGTTTTATTGGAGGGAACGTTAACTCCACAAATGTTACTATGGGGAGGGTCTCTTTGAAATAGAAATTCACTGAGTTTCGGGGAGCTTTTTTCATGGAAAGGGTAGCCCTCAATAATTGTTGTGTTTTACGACTTGTCTTATTTGTTTATTGCTCAAACTCAAACGTACATGGGCTTGATCCTATCTATTTTACAAGGATACGTAAATCACATTTTGCATTTCATCTATTATGTCTGCATAATTTCATGTGTTTTAGTCCTGTATACAGTACTAAAAGCTGATAAATGAAGCCACATGCACCCACAAAAGTACGCGACCTACACAACGCCACACTCTGATCGATCGCCTTCAAACCGACCGCATTGCTATTTGATGAAAGTTCCTGATTAAGCCGCCTTCTTCTCGACACTGACAAATGAAGACATATCTGTGTCCACACATAATAGTCGGACACATGTTTGCCCTACCATACTAATTGCCAGCAAGCCAATCCTTTGTTCAGTAAAACTTTCATTAGGTTAAAAGGGCTGTATGGCAGGGCTACTGTGGGTATGTAAAATGCATGATAATTCTGCTGTAGGCCTCTTCTCTACTAACCCCTTGTCATGTCCACTTCTGTAAAAGGAATGCAGTTATAACAAATATGACAAACATTCACACAGATAAATGTGTTATAGGAGAGACTGACGATACCAGATCCGAGAAAAATTAATTATCATAAACAATGGTATTGATGTTAACATACGGAACAAGGATTAATCCAGTCCCATTCATCTGAGTCATAAATAGTTGAACGGGTGAAACAACCACATACCTGAGGGATTGGTCTTCGTAATTCGACAGGGAAACTTGCGGGGCAACTGAAACTGAAACAAAAAAGTATCATTTATGACTTCTTGAGTTGATATGTTCCCAAACAAAAACCGACAAACTTTCTTTATGGTAATAAAAATACAATGTAGCAACTTTTAAATTTGTTACTGTATACTTTGTGAGCGGAGTCCGGACTTCCCTCTTCATTCCAACCGTTCCACTAGTCCCTCTAAAAAAATAAAAAACAGACAGACCTTCTGAATAGTTGACCAACACACCAGATGCTACCATACAAGAAATATGATGAATGATAAAATCCATACACACGAAGTTTTCTACCTAAAAGCGAGCCGAGTTTTGACATGTAGAAATAATCGGAAGTCCCGAGTGGAATTCTGCTCGCCACACAGCCAATATGTCAACTCCCGAGAGAAATAGTAAAACCAACCAACTGCACATGACGGACGACCCTCCGGCCACAGTAATTTGTTGAAGTAACCAGATATTCATTTTCAGCCTCATTACTTGTGTAATCCGGTATTTATTTCCGATAACACCTTGTATTCTTGGGCAATAAATCCTACTGGAAAGTCACAAAATCTATTGACCTTTGACACGAGTGTGAAATTACATTAGCTGAGAGTCCGATACTGTGGCGATTGGAACGATGAAATTTTCAGTACGCGTTAGCTATAGCCTGCTGGAAAAGTTTAGTTTGAAAGTCACGTGCAATGATGTGACTGTTTTCTATGTTTCTGAACTTGGTTTTCCTTTGGCTATATTTTTCAAAGCAGGTCTGAAGCATTCACATACTCAAACTTTAACTATGATATGTTACCTAACTAAATGGCCAGTTGATGTATTGCATAACGTGAATCTGATGTTGTTACTAGTATATGTCCTGTCAAACGAAGCGACAACGTCAGTGATTATCTTTAGAAAACCATATAACTACACTTTTTTCCAAACTAAGTGCTTTACAAGGACCAGCACAGTTTAGGCTGTGTTGAAGTTATCTGAAAGAACGTCCTGTGTCCGCGCTCTGCAGAATAACACTGTGAGTGACACATAGGGACCTGTCCCTGGTGCTGAAACATCGGTGCAGCGATTACAGATGTTTGTTTTCCTTTGTTTCTTTATTGTTTGTCTCAGCTATAGAGTCACAAATAGATGTCAACTTAGACAGATTATGCTTCACCAGTGAAGTTCAAACTATATACGAGCATCAGTTATATTTCGATTAATAAAAATCTTTTTTCGTATGTTAATAGGCATTTTTATTCGCATGTTCATGCCCATAGGCCTAGGGCTAAATGCATACAGAAGATGTTACATGTATATAGAAACTTATTAACATACATATAGAACGCGTAATTAATGAAAATAAAGGATGGACAACAGGATAGGTAGCAATATAGTGTGTGACTACTCTAGCTACTAAACACTAAATTCTAACTTATTGTTAGAAACTTAGAATTAACTTAACTTATACCTAGCTCTTGTGACCGCGTTTTACATACGAATCACGGATTCGCTTGTCATAACGAAATATTATATTCACGGCTCGATATTCCAGCACCACTGAATCAAACATGACACTACAATATAATACACGGATCAATATGGCGACCTGTAGTGTCAGGCACTCATGATCACATGTATGACAAGTCCTATAATATGTGTCTGCATGTGATATTGTCGATATGTAAGGGCACAAACGTCAGCTGGGATGTACTGCATTGTCTACCTTGGGGTGTGGACACAAGGTAATGTACAAGGAGTCATGTTCGTGTTAATCGCTAGAGGCGCTGCTGGTTGAAGCGTTCCTATGGGGATGAACTTGTATCCTCTCCCATCCTATGTCGTCAGGCGGGCCATAGGATCCTGAGAGAGACATTTCAAGCCTCATAACAAACCATAAGCATCATTGTCATTGTATCTGATGACCATTAGACCATCGCTCACATTGAAATAGGTATATTTCATTTCCAAGGCCACAAGTCGTTTATTTGAAACGTTTGGTTTGTACTTGCCAATGGTCACTGGCTATTCATCGTTATAAGCCACGATGTTGACCAAACGTACTGGCCGAGCCCCTGTCTATCTACCAGACAACTAGTAACGACCCAATGATTGGCATGTTTTAGATATGCGCGCCCCCAAGCGGCGGAAAGGCGCCAGGCCTCCCTCCAGGAAACCAACCTATAAGCTCATCAATACTACCGACAGCCAGACAAAGGGGGAAAAGGCTAAATAAAAACTCCCAATCCCCGAGGACATCGCAGAAAAAAGGCTCTCATCTCCCTACAGGTTGGGCCTGCCGATTGATCAAAGCTGTCATCTCCTGAATAGACACTACTTAGCAACAACAAAGGGTGATAATTACATTTAAAGACTGCAGCATTTCAAGTCGAAGGGGATGATTTTGTTTGTCCTAATTTGTATGAATTGTGGGAGGCGTGACAGACGAAACCTTATTAGTTCGCAAGTGGGTGATAATGAGTTGGACTGGACTACAGCCCAACGATGATATCGCTTCCAGTAACCATAGACAGATTCTTGTAAACACGAATATGTTTTTCAGGAACGTTTTATCAGTCGTTCATAAACGTTTATCGGGTTGTATTCCAGATGCTTTGGCTATCTACACATACGTGGTTCTCGAGGGGTTTACACTGAGTTTGGGCGTCGCTCCTTGATCAATTGAACAGCATGAATTAAAAACATACCGTCGCTTTAAGAAATCTCCTCTAGATGGTGAAGTGGTACACGTTAAAAATCATAAATCATAGAAGACGAAAGCGGACGACAAATGGGCACAAATGTATGTAGGGAATGCGTTTTCTAGCTGAAAACAACCACCTTGTTAGCAGTGACATCGTGCGAAGCAATAGAATACTGCAGCTTCTTCTTTGTCGCGTTGTATCGAACTTGGGGTCGGTTCCCCACTTGAAAATGTGAACTTTACAGGTATTACAGGTATAGGGTTTGGCTGAAAACCAATTTTAGCAGTGGCGGAGGGATGTAGTAACGATCTGTACAACTTTTCTTCATTGGATCGGCGTTGGACGTGTTGTGTGTTTTTATTGACAGCGGAAGGTGATGGTAGCGAGTTGTCATGTCAGGCGTGTGTGCGGGTCCGTGACAGGTAATGTTGCTTCACAGAACACAGGACGTAAACTGTAGCCACAGTGGTGACTGGCTGTCGGACGCGCGCACTGAGAGACGTGTCTCCCAAGCACCAGCCCCTGGTCCCTTCTCTCCCCTACCCCCAGGCTCGGGACGCCCGTGGGTGGTGAGTGGTGAGGAGCACCGACAGCGATCGTTTACATTGTAAATCAACACCGGCGCGCTGCGCGTATTTTGCAGCCTTCTCGGGTTGATAGGCATCAGTTCGACTTATCTCGCCGTGAGGTGTGGATCGTGTACCGACACCCCGGCTACCGTGCCAAGCTACCACCTCACTAAGTTTTCTGTTTTAAAGAGACATTTCCGCAGTGTCCTGCTATGGGAGTTTAAGACTGTATACTGAGACAATAGCTTGTGTTAACGTGTAAAGGATTGTGTGGAAGCCTGTCGGGATGTCCTACCCACACTTTGGATACTCTTTACCGTCGTCTTCTCAGGTAAGTTGGACTAACGCCGAAGTGATGTGGCGATGGAGTTTAACCTTCGTCCACTTTCCTTGGCTTGCCCATCGACCCCTGCAAGCTCGTACCTATAAGACCACCTCCTCATTTCGATTTTTGCTGCTCATTTGCATCGCCTGACCCGAGGAAGCCGGGCCCGACTCACTCTTTGTTGTGTTCTCTCTCCACGGCAGTTGCTCATGTCCAGCCACGCCGCGTCGTGCTGCGAGGCCGGGCGGCCCATCATGTCGGACCCGCACACCGGCCAGGCCGTGTGCTCCTGTCAGTACGAGGGCAGGGTGGCCGGGCTGGTGCCGCCACGGGTCGGTGAGATGTCCCTCAGCAGCGTGTACGGCTCGCCGTACGCCGGACAGGGCTACATCGCCTCCTTCGGTGCCGACCCGTCGGCCTTCTATTCCCCGTTGGTGAGTATGCATTATGGCCCCCGGCCTGTCACCTGTCACTAATGGCTTCCGTACGTAAATTCCAACCTTTTATGTACACTTTATGTAGCCACTTAAATATACGTGATTTTGGTGCAGAAGCTGATGATAGACATATACAGCACTGCTTCTACAAGAAAACCGCTCCAGCATAGGTGGAATCTCCTAGTCCTACTTTGTCCCAATCTGTACTTGATTCATTCTTCTATGCTTCACATATGATTTTATTTCAAGCTGTGAGACAGAAATAAATTTCCTGTATAAAATGTTATGCGTGAATTTGGATTGACCAATTTTTCCTCTGAAATCCCTTCCCAGGCGAACCCGTACGACCCGTCGGCAGGTCTCCAGCAGCCCACCGCCTACTACCCGTACGACCCGGCCACGTTAGCCGCCGGCGCACAGTACCATCCTTACGGCGGGTAAGATCTCTTCTCATCTCTTCACCTTCCCTAAAATCTTACTCTAACTCCATACAGTAGACCTTAGAAGCTGTGTAACCATATGCCTTTCCTATGATGTGTAACGCTTGACTTCAGTGTAGGGAATTATCATACAGGTGGTTGAAACCGGCTGTAGCGAAAGCTGACGTTCAACCAAGCGTATGTTGTGTTCTGTGTAATTACATGTTTGTTTGCTTTTTTAGTTTATTAGTTTTCCGTGTCCTGTATACTGTATTCAAGTATGCGTTTTCCTTATCTTTCAGTTATGGTCCGATGGATGGAACGCCTCGGAAAAACGCCACCAGAGACGCCACCAGTACCCTCAAGGCCTGGCTCAATGAGCACAAGAAGAACCCGTACCCCACCAAGGGCGAGAAGATCATGCTCGCAATCATCACCAAAATGACTCTAACTCAGGTGTCCACATGGTTCGCGAACGCCAGGAGGAGACTCAAGAAGGAGAACAAAATGACCTGGTCGCCGAGGAATAAGAGTGGGGACGAGAGGAGGGAAGACGGGAGCGACAGTGAGAACGAGAATGAAGACGAGGAGGGGAGAGAAGGCGGAGAAGACAGAAATCAGGAGGATGAGAGAGGTAAGACCTCGTCTTATATATAAACACATTTATATACACATATATCCCTTGTACAAACGGGTCGATCTCGACTGGATTAAGAAGATAGCGATTTACGTGACCTAGCTCTGGGTATGGGTTTCGCCTAATCCTGAGCCACTGTAAATATTTTAGGCGATCTTGATCCCTCCAACATTTACTCCGTTTGACTGAGCTCTACTCATACATCTTCCCGCTTCTTGCCATCTGTTACAGGGCTGGATGGAGACAGAGACAATAAGGAGTTGGATGTGGGAAATCCTTGCGAGGAAAGCCGACAGGAAGACAACACCAGCGGGTCAGTATCGGACTATCGGCCGCCGCCTCAGTCCTCCAGCCCCGCTGATTCCCTGGGATCTATTAGTGCTGCACCGAGACCGGCCAGTCCCGAGCCCAGTCCGGCCGCGAACTCTGTACCGGTCCCGCCGATTCCTTCCGAAAACAAGCCAAAGATCTGGTCCTTAGCCGACACGGCGACCAGCAGTAGCCCGGGGTTGAGATCGGATCCTCCGCGGTCCCTTCCTACCGGAGCTATCCCGACCTTACCTGGACAATTCCCCGGGCACAGGCCCTTCGACTCTGTAGCTAACCTCCGCCACTGGGTGAACGGTTTTTCCCAGCCCATTCGGACTCACGCCATGTCTTCCTCGGCGCCAGGAGCCGCTACCTCCGTATTTAGCTCGGGACAGTTACCGACAGGCGTATCCTTAGCGGGACTTCCCGTCAGGACTCTCTCCGCCACGGCACCGACAGGAGTACATGCCTTCCTCGGGAGAGAGCACGCCTTCCCCGGAGTAGCCAGGACACACTCACCCGGTACAAACGAAGGTGGGTCATATACAGCAATCGTAACAGCAACATTGTACTTTGTCTCACCACAGTTTAGCCATCCTTATACGTTATCTTCTATCTATGATTTTACGCAATTTTAGTATATCACTTTCAAGATTTCGATTTTTTCGCAATATGGACTAAATCGTGACTGATAACCGATAGCGAGCTGTGCATACTGCCGCAAACAGAAACAAGAAAAAAGAGAACAGAAATCAAAGCTCAAACATCGGTATCAAGTGTTACATTCGTTATCGACATAGATATCTTTGTTATTGCACAAAAATAAGAATCCGGGTTACCATCACATATAATAGCGTCTGTAAATAATGCTCTGTTTTTGTTACTACTCATATTGTATCACCCTTTCTATTCATTGTACCGCTGCCGATCTTGTTTGTTTTCATAATTAAGACGATAAATGCGTCAACAACAATATGATACCGGACGGATGAATGACGAAAATTATTCCTTTTTGAACATGGGTTGACAAGGTAGAACTACACGGGTCATATGAGCATTCATGCCCTGCTAGTAATGCCCCACTAAAAGAGCACACAACTGATATATAAAAAGGTTATAGGTCGCTGTAAGTGTAACGTTAAAGCGTCACTTTTGTTAACTTCCAACAATGTCCAGGCAAATCTGGTACGCAAACATCCCCGCTATAGTAAATAGGCGTAGTAATAAACCGTGACTACAATCATGCATTAAATAAACTCTGCTTCAATTTTTATCAGTTAAAGCTGCGAAACGTACCCATAAACAGTTTCAGATTATGAAATAACTTCGTGTATCCATAGTAGTATTATTGTATCTTTATTTTTTTCTCTTACGTTTGTACAGTGTCAAATCCAACAAACCCTAGATACCGAGAAGGCCCCTACAGCGAGGGCCATCCAACCGCTTTCAAACCGGTACAAAAGAGGTAAGCGAGGTACATTGAATTTCATTATCTTCTCTCAATATCAGTTGTCGTCCCTGCTATGAGTTACCTCTTCAAGCCTGTCTTTCTTTTATTTTTCTCTCGTAAATTTTTGCCTTTTAAAGTCCTCCTTTTCATTCCGTATCATTGCTGATTTTGTGTTGTATGGTAATGCATTAGACACAGCGGTGCTTTATAAACAGTAGGTGTGTTGAATAAAAGTCAAAAGCATTTATAAATCTAGAGTTGGAATAAAAAAAAATACTCAAATGCCCCTTTTAAAAGGAACCTTGCTGAGTCGTATATAACCATACGGGAATATAGATGTTATTTATCAAGTGAAGGAAGATAATTAAATGTAATAAATGTTGGTAGCAGTAAGAACATATTCAAGGTTTCACCCTTGAAATGCTGGTTCTTCGAAGTTGAGATTTACGATAAATATCCCAAGGTGACTTCTAAAACCCTTCCGGCCACCTTCAGATTCCTAACTCATCTCAGAAGAAGGATAAAACGTTATAAATCAGGAGTAGCGGGAGTGTGGTGTGTTCTCGCCGGGCCCGGGGTTACAGGGGCCGGGCAGGGCTCACTCATGTGCCCGCTTACATTTACTTACGCGCCTAATTGATTTATAATCACACGTCATCAATAATGATTGTTTGAGTTATGACATCCGGGACAGAGTGGTGTGCGTGGATTGACGGGTACTCTTCGTTGGTACGGACTAAAACACGGGAATAATGTGTAATCAGGAAGGTTTTCTTCTGTAACTTTCTTATTGCTTTCCTTTTTTTTCGCTTTTTATTTTCCCATTTGTCTGCTTTTCTGTTGCCCTCGCCACCATCATATTTACATCAATATTACAAGTAGACGCAAGTAGTAAACTCTTACGTTTAAATCATTGTCTATACATTGTTTCTCCATAACAAATCATACATATCTACAAATGATAGCTACGTATACATATTAATGAAAGAAAGACTCAGCTGAACATACCAGTCGTAAGAGACTGAATATGGTTGTGTGAGTGAACTTATGCAAAGGTAATCGCAACACGGATTTGTCAGCTACCCTGGATCATATCTGTTATGTTGACAGCACCTTGGATTTGTGTTTATACTTTTGTTTATTTTTTTCCATCTCAGGTGTAATCCACCAGAGGACCAGTCTCAGCCCCGAGAGTTTGACGCCGCCGTAGCGCTCACCAATCTGTCTTCAAGATAGCGCCGGTGGGGATCGAACCCGTGTGCTCAAGTACCGCACCCTGGTGTCGTGTCTTCGCCCGGCTCCTGGTATATGGGAGGGGAGATAAGTCGTTTTACAACGCTTTCAGACAAACAAAAGACAGATCATCATCGTATCACAGATCCATCATATCTCTGCTTCCATGTGATAAGTATATCTGTATATTTATTTCTCCAGACATGAGGGCGTCTTGGGCATAATTGAGTCTTACTGCGTCTCAGACACTTGTCATCAAATGGAAATGTAATTCCATTTTCTCATTAGATATTTTGGCATTCGATAATGTATTTCCTTTTAACTTAAGACACGACCAATGCACTAATCATTCCATCAAATGTCTCTCGATGTCGATGGTACAGTATTTAACGACATGTCAAGATTTTGTGGAGTCTTAATGCGAATCCTGGTGTTATGCAAATATAGTAGAAATGCTGCTAAAAGAGAGAGAAACAGTCTGAACAGCGACTATTAGTGAATTCACGAGGGCGATTACATCTGTGTATTTTGTAAGGGCTTGAAATGACCGTTCCCAGAAATTGAAGCCAGATTTCTGCCAAAGACTATGTCTGAATATGCTGCACTTTGTATATTTTCTATGAGAGAACCACCTGTACATAATTTCGCGCCATATTGTGTGAATGTCCGCTTTCACTGAACAGGTAGTGAAGTGGGCGGACTTGTCTTCTTACTTTTTCAGTCGATTTTGTGTGCGTATTTGTTATTTGAAGACAAGAGTGTGCAAGAAAAAAGAGGAATACTCTGTGATTTTCTCTAGGTACGGTTTTTGTAGTAATTCTAGATGCCTGTTGTTGGGCGGTTTGCCCAAAAGCAGACGACCCTGTGTTTTTAGCATCTACAGTGTTACATGAAGGAGTTTGTTTGGTATGAGTTGGACCACAGGGGATAACATGTTGTGTTGTGTCGTCTTAACATCCTCTGTAAACTCACCACTTTCGCTCCAGTTTTGGAAAACAAAAAACCTACAAATAAATCCATTTTTGAGAAGCAATGGCTTGTGTGCCTGGTGTTTTGTTGTGCGATGTTGCGGGGAAGGTTTTGTGTAGTGTAGGTCTAGTCAGGTGCGTGTCAGATAATCTATCGGTACAATGGGCGGGGGAAAACTCTATACGCCGTAGACTTCTCGCCTGGAACTGAAGTTGTACTGTATTTCCGTTGGCTTGTCGCTCAGCATTGTATTCTTCTGAAGCAGAAAAGTATCGTTTATGCGTTAATGTAACCCCTGGGTGTGCTGTTACGGCGCCCTCCCCGACGAACACTGAGACACACACCCGAAATTACCGACAACCTGATCTGTGATCTACAGTTTTGATAACCCAATTCTGTGTTTCTACCAGTATTATCATGCCGCGGTAATATGGTTAGATCTGATATTTTGTGGCGGGATTCGGCACTTGCCTAACTGTGTGCTTCCACCTGCAAGTGCCGTGTCGGGTTACTGCTAACACTTGCTCCACGCCGCCTCACAGAAAGACAAATGTACAGGCATCTTGCCCCTGGACAAGGGGGTTGAAAGGGGCATGTACATTTGGGAGATTCGTTATTGACGAGGAAAACATCGTCTTGGGAAATGACAGAATTAGGCTACTGCCCCTACCATGTCCACAAAACGCCCGGCCGGTCCCGGCTTGGTGGCGGTATTGTTTGGGGGGAAGTGGAGATGTGTTTACTACGGCAACAATGTCTTTTCACGCCGTGTTTCGGGTCCGATGCGCCCCAAACGATCTCTGCTTGTGCCCGACCATCCAGGTCACACAAGCGTATAACGGCTAGGATTTTCCAGCAGCTTTGTAAATTCATTACTTCAAGTTTGGATAACATACAATATCCACTTATCGCGATAATCACCAATGGAAACATTGTCCCAAGGTTTATGACACGTTTCCTAATCAATACACAGTCAAAACCGCCGTGTAGCAAATCATGTTGAACCTAACGAAATATTCCTATTTCTTTTCTCAGCCCCAAGTAGGAAAATCACTCCGCACAACGCAATTTTGCTGTCGGTAGAAACGCGATGAACCTGTGCCCATGGGACCATAGCGTCCGGCCCTTCTGGCAAATTCTACATGCTGCAATCATAACTTACTTTCCTATAGTATTTTGCATGCTTCCATAAAATATACACGAAAATTAATTTTTACGTCGTTACTCCATGTACCATTTCCAAGAATACCGCCAATGATTCTGCCAGTTTATTAGGTTTGATCTTATAGGATGATTTTTTTCGGACACAGTCATGTTTACCGGGCTGTATCGGGAGAACCCCTACCTTGCCATTGGGGACGCAATCAGCTGCACGCCGCATAATTTGGCGGTTGAACCGCGGCCTTGCCATTGACAGCCTTGATGAGAACGACCTCTGGTCTCCTGCAGTCTCTTATTTAGATATTGGAGCACCGAATAACCTCGCAACAAAGCAACTGGGACCTGGCCACGTGGGAAAATAAAGCGATTTTACTTTCCATATTCAGTCGACCGGGAAAAGGCGTACGTTTGATGAAGTTATCGAGCGCAGGCCGGTCTTGGCATATGTGTTCCAGAGCCGCAAAATAGCGAGGCGGTTTCTGCTACCATTAGGCACAGACAGTGTTTCCCCTGTATTGAGAACAATACTTCCATGAATTGATCTTGAATCGAATTAACGATAACGTCAATAATTCCCAGGAGGACCTTTTATGTTCTTCCTGTACTAAATTATAGCCAGCTAACATGGAAGTACGTTTATTGAAGTGCATGTAGTTTGCATGGGCAGATACAAACCGTGCAGGTAAGTACGTGGACCGAGATATATACTAGTATATGCCGCTGCTGATCGCATATTCATCAACTTTGTGCCGATCTAAGATTGCTAGAATCGCGCCCTGGGCTGTCAAACTAGAACTGCAAATCATACCATGACCTGTCTGCTTGTGTTAAGTTTTATTGTCGGCCCTGCACGTCAGGTCCAACCGACAATTCCAGCCTTTTGTAGGCGGTGCGCCCGGCTCTCTGCGGCCGTCATTATTACGTACATTGATCCCGCGACCTTTTGGTGGCTGCGATAAAAGGCCATTTTCTGCCTGTCGTTAGCGTTAGGAGATTGCCTGAAAGGCTTCCATTCCACAATGCCACAATTAATGGCTGTGAATATATGTGCTTTATTCGTGCGTATACAGAAGTCAAGTTTAACTTTTACACTTGTCTGGGTCGCGTCACTTACAGGAAATGATATATCGGTTTGCTTTATTTTAGTATGAGTTATGATCCGATGATTTCTGTGTCTCCTCGGGCCAGTCCGTTTATTATTCCCGTGTCTGAAGGGATGATGAGGCGGATTTGCCCGGGGAGGAGCCCGGCTCACCCCGCCGCTCCACACCGTACGGCCCGGTACCAACATGTCCGTGGCCTTGGGAGTGGGCGGCACGTCCCCAGAGAGGACCCACACACAAACCTCTGCGGTGTAGAAAAAACGGTGTGTTTTCCCGGGGGTTTTATGTACAGCCGGGCTGATCCGACTTTTCAGGGCTTAAGTCGCGATCCTTTGATGTGGAACATTGTGATGGCGGTGTACAATCCATGTTCACACACACGGGAGCAGCAAATAGCATTTTAACAGATGTTAGTTATAATTTCCCATGTCGTTGCTATCCAAACAAAACCGAAGGTCTTTCTCGGAGAAATTACACATCTTGGCACTCCAGGAATCAATCTGCAGTCCCTGTGTAAACAGTAGGAGCAGACGGAGGGACTGGGCGGGAGATATCCGTGACATCGCTTGAAGGTTGTAAAAGAACTCTCGGAAACAACTGCCATTTCCTAAGGAGAAATCTGTCAGACAAGTGACAAGAATCGGGACGTCTCAGGGCTACTCCGTACATGGTCGTGAGGGGTGAATATGGATAACACACGAAACATTTGGACGGGATTATAGGGACCCTACATGTATGTGCTCGTCATAAAAATACTATGGCTCAGTCGCCTGTATTTGGTTCAGATTAGTCAGACGTTTATGAATGAGATGGAATGTTATTTAAGGAAATAAAAACACGTGAGACTTAATAGCGAATAAAGGGTTGATATGTACACACAATAATACATTCCGGGCACCCACATGGTACAAAAATGTCTATTGTTTGCTGTGACTTGTGACCCGTGGATGGAAGATATTGGACGATATGGCATACTGCGAAGCCGGAAGAGTGGTTCTGATTTCGTAGATGAGTAAATCTCTTTTCCTTGGCGAAGGTATTCATTCAAGTCTAATGACGGGATATCATTTCCCGACAATTAGACCTCAGCACATCCCGCAAAAGATGACACGTCAAGACCCAGACAGACCAACATACCTGACCGACAAATACGACGTCTCCGTCTGTCTAGAATCTCAGGGACAGACATATCTGTGGCGGGAATGTTGACGTCATAATTATTTCCAGGGGGAGTCCAGAGATATTTTATTAACGCATCTCGGGAAAGCGTGTCATCCAGAAGTTGCTTCTCGCTGACTCTCCCCGTTTTCTGTGTTAGTTGTGCTGCATGCGGTAGACCTCAGGCCCCGGCCTCTCCTCCCCACCGGAGCTCTCCTCACAGCCACAACCAGGGCGTGAAATGTGTCCAGACCACCGGCAAGCGACGCCTGCCGGGCCGGGCTGGTCGTAACAATCCTTCCCAGTGTGGCGTTCACCTTCGCACCAGCGTGACGTTCACCCCTGGGCGGTGGGGAGGGGAGACCACCATGGAACCGGCACAGCAAGCTCATCCATCACACATATCCACTTGGATACACTTCACACAGTTAAATAGGAGGAGACAGAACGGGCCATTATAGTCCACTTCGATTTGGTGTCGGGGGTCTGCGTCGACACACTGGGCACCACACCGTAGGGATTCATGGGGACACGTGAAATAGCTCATATTGTACGGACTTTTTTCCATTTTCTCAGAGAGTCTTTCAGGCTTACTTCAACTCAAATTTTATAGTATATATAGTGTACATGATACAGTAACAGGTTCAACACATGCCACTGGCGTTGACGTGTCCTTGCGTGCCATCCACCATCTGACGTTCGTCCTTATAGGACCTCCTCCCACTCGCGTCAAGTGAAACAACCACTTCTATTGTCGCCGACTGTACTTAACAAATTACGCACCCGACTAAGGCCAAGGACGCTGTTTCCACACCATATATTTTTTGTCAAACTGAATTCTAGATGTATAGAGAAAACGTTGTCCTGGTGCAATTGCACGGACACAAATTTGTTTCGGTGGGAAGTCGGTGATTTCACGCAGCGTGGTTAAGTTGGTAATGACTGCTTGAGTTCTCCACGCCACATGTAAACCATTTTCCGTCCCGTCCACCATGCGGCGTCTGTCCCCAGGCCACGTTCACCCCCATTTAGCAGCCGACTGACAGACAGGCCTGTTGTCAGTGTACACAACATCCTGTCCTCCACCTGCCTGGACCTGACGCCACCTGGTGGAGCCTGCTAGTCTCGCGAGAACACACGAGGACTAGCCCGAGACCTCCTCACTACCCCCAGACCCTCATGTGTTGTTCCCCGTGACCTATGGAACGGTAATATGTGTAAGTACAAGGCCTGTAGTTGTGTTGTTACGGACTGGGTGTAGAAAGAACACAGTCGTCTGTTGTGTGCAGGTCCGAGCCGTGAAGCCGTGCTGAAGCAGCAGGATCTCCAGTCGGCTCCGTGGGGCAGACCCCTGAGTCCTGAACCAACCCAACATGTGTTGGACATGGCTTACAGCCTGTGGCAAGGGTCAGGGTCCCGCCGTGTACATGAACAGTCCCAGACACGACCATATATCACCCAGCAGGCTGCCCCCTCCCCAACCCCTCAATGGCTGGATTGTTGCCGTTCTACCGAGACCCCGCCGTCCGTTCTCGCACCTTGGTTCTGTTTTATCTGACAAGAGTTGTACACCAGGGCGGGTTTCCCGTCCGTTCTACCCCACAGACTGAGCGCTGTTCCCCTGTCTGTACACAAG